CTCTCGCGTGGGCGTTTTCGAATATGTGTCGACACAAAAATCCCCATGCACCATTGACAGTTCTATCAGTGCTGAGCAAAGGATTAGCGAAAATTGTGGCTCATGAAGTAAGGATTGATCGAATGAATCGAGTCCTACAAAGCAAATGGAGGCTGATGATGATCTGCTTTTCAGGACAAGCAAGTGCGACAGGACGCCTGCTGGGCTATTTCCTATCTCACTGATGGACCCGACGAGCAAATCGCTTTGGCAAAGACAAGTGGTTAGTAGAAGAACGTTAATTTGGAATCATGTATTATTATTTACAAAGCTGTTGTTCACGTAAAGTGCTACGATGTATATCTATAGGCGTATTGTGCATTCTTTATCGCGATTATCGCTAGAGGTGATTCAGACAGCAATTCTGCTTCACCGGCTGATAAGATTCATAAGGGCTTCCACACCTTCGCATTCTAAAAGAGCAAATCGCTAAACCATAATTCTGCAGGCAAGTAGAAACCGTATGTCGATTTATAGCTCTCGGGGTACTCAACAAACGCTTCCGTTCCGCCCACGGGGAAAAAACTCAGGAGAACTACAATTCAGCCCTCTTTAATACTTCTAGAGGTGCGTTCATACTTTGCGGCAGCGTCCACTGGCGACCCCCGGCGTTACGAGCGTCCGTCAACGTCAGAGAGAAAGCATAGATGTCATCTAGCGAAGCCAACGTCGAAGCGGCCAAGTAGAGGAGAGCATGGAGGAGTAGGAAGGAGCAAACAGCTGGATTAGGCATCGCGACATTGCGGATTGGGCAATCGCACCGTACAACTGCTGAACCACATATCTATGCAATTTATACGCTATTGGGGAACAGTATGGTGCGATTGCACACTCAACAATCTCAAGACGTCTAGCTGTCTGCTCCCCCCTACTTCCCCCATACTCTACCAGTAGCGTGTCACGCTCCTATTTCCCCCGCACTCTCACTCCTGGCAGACACTGGTGAACACCGGCGTAGGCTAGATCGATATTTGTACTTTCCCAGTCCCTGGCGTAGACGGATGCTTGAAACGCTAGTGGTCGCAGTCTAGGACATGCAGCAGAGCTGGAAATGGTTTCAAAAAAGGATTACTCGATAATTCACTGCATCTGCCTTTCCCAAAGAGATGGCTTCAATGTAATGGCTCCAAGTAAAGTTTTTATTCAAAATGGAAACCAACTTAGACGACAAACTCGCCTATGACATAATCCCTAAGTTGAGCCGAATCTCCAGCGATATTTGCAACAGCCCATAAAGCCTGTTCAGCTAGAGCAGGATTGGTGCTCTGCGTGAGTTTGACTAGAGGAAGTGTGGCACCGGCTTCAACAGCGGCTACGGTTTGTTCCGACGTACCAGAGACGATGTTTGTCAACGCCCAGGCGGCTTCAAATCGAACCTTATCGTCCTGAAAGCAAAAAATAGGTCACGAATATTCAGCGAGGATACGAATCGACTTTACCTCGACAGCAAGTGCCTGCACCAAAGCATTCACAAGACCGCAGTTGATCACTTCATCAACGGGTGGATTCTTTGAGCGTGACAGCGTACGACGGAGTGCTTCAAAGCAAGTTCTCATCTGTTCCAGGGTTGGATTGTCGCAAAGAATTTTGATGATTTCCTCATTGGTAAGTCGACTAGATACTGCTGGAAATACATTGGTAATCAGCCTCAGACTGTCAATAGGAAGACCGCGTTTATACATTGCGCTACGGAAGAATAGGATAATCGGCGACTCCGGAGAGCTCGCGTCAGCAACCTAGTCAATTGATCACCCTCCTAATCATGTGGCACGCACTCTCGCAAAAGTCGATCCGCCGACCCTCCTGGAGACTGCAGCGATTCGCAAAGCATAAACGGTCTAACCAGTCGCGGTCATCTAACCAGGCATTGTTTTCACATCCAAATCTGAGAGTTCCCCTTCGTCTTCATCCTCCACCAACTGATTTCGACGTTTCATCAGTAGCTCAGTGCCTTTCTGTTTGCGAATTTCAACACTGGTTTCGTTCCTGCGGCGACGCATATCCTGAAAGCAGTCACAATCGATATCAGTCCGCAGTCACGCAGACTGTCAAGGTACTAGCGCCACTACGCACACCTTATGCTATTATCTAATTTTCATGTGATGTATGGTTGCTATAAGGGCGATCTAGCTACGCCTTAGTTCTCCGTGCACTGCTCTCCACACCGTATGAGAGTGTGTTCATACTTTGCGACTCAAGCGATTCAATCATGTCGAGCACCAGTGACCGACGGCGCTCCACCGCTAATTGTTAACCGTTGCAACGAATCTTAGGATCTCGAATGCGACTGAAA